CCATTAAGAACTTACATGTAATGATGTTTATATACATGCACATGCTGCAGCCCTGTGAGTCCATAACAACTGTGTGAAGCGGAGGAGAGTGTGAAGGCAGACGAGAGGGAGGGAAAAACAACAGCTGGTGGAGATATTAAGCACCAAACACGCGGGCCTCGCCTATCATGCACACACTCACACACACATGTTCCACCCCTCGCTGGCCTGACCCACCCAAAAAAAACACCAACCGTCCCCACCCTGCATTAAACGGTAAGTCTACTCCTCACTCGGCTTCACCCCCCCCCCCCCCCCCCCCGCCTGCTGAGGCCGGCACGACCCCAACGTCCACTGGCTCGGCCTAATGTTACCTAATCGCAGTTGCCAGTGTTGATTACCCGGGTGCTTAGTAACCCGTTTGGCCCAAACACCCACATCGGATGGCCTGACGTGCTCCGACCCTGGGGCGAGCTTCACCTGAGGTTTAATGATGACGCGGTGCAGCTCAGGTGTCACGGAATGAAAATTAAACTATTCATTTCCCAAATTCCCAATAATTGCATTCAAGAACTTGTTCAAGCAGCACAAGAACAACAGACAAATTCTGGTCCTAAAATATTGGTGATTTTCATCCCATAATTTCTGCAGTCATTTCTCAGCCCAGCCGCAAAAAAAAAAATATACCAAGTTTTCTTTAAACGACCTGGACGTGCAGAAAAACAGCGACATGTATATTCATATTGCAATCAACGTTCTGACCCTGAACATGACTTGAGCAGACAGAGCCATAATTAATGCACTTTACTGAATGGATGGCTTTAATAAAGCGTCAATTAGGAACTTGATTAGTATTCTGCGAGCCTTTCCGCTGAATAAAAGGTTTCCAGCTAAGAGTCGGATCTCTGTGAGTCCACATTTCAGCTCAAAGTTAAAATGCAGACAAAAGGGCTTGACAGCTGTAAAAATTAGAATACTTAACACAAATGTATGAAATATTAGAGTCTACGGACACTTGTGCTTCCTGATGGAGATTCATTAAAACAGTAAAAGAGTTCAAAAGGTTGATATTGTTGGGGCTGTCTGTGTTTCCTCGTCCTGTCTCGTCTGCTGGGTGGAGTCAGTGTCATCACAATCACCTGTGTCTCTGATTAGTCTCACTCGTGTCACCTGGTGCCCTGGGTATATACACCTCCCTCACGCTGTCTCTGTGGGATCATTGTCCTGTAGTTGTTGTGAGTGTTCTGGTCAGGTCATGTTGTGAGTTCCTAGTAATTCAAGTAAAATGTTCTGTGTTCCTAGTAATTCAAGTAAAGAAGAAAATTTCACGTCTGTGATGTTTAGGGAAGAGCCCGTCTGTGTCCAAAGAGACATTGTTGTTGTTGCTCATTCACGCTGTTTGAAGAAAACAAGTCTGCAGTCGATGCTACATACAGGTGCGTTGTTGTTGCTCACCTGTAAATAAATCACCTGCTGCACCTGAACAGAGTCTCCCTGGTGCTGCTTCCTGCCTTGCCCTCACGGAGCAGATATGTTGTTTAAGCCGACACAGATTACGAGACCACCAAGAAAACGACATCCAAAATTTGCATAACGAATAAAACTCAGACAGCACACACCGCTAATTTTACACAACATAAAACCCAACAAATTTACACCCTTTCATAGTACTGGAAGGTGTAGCTGTAAAGATAGCGTCACGCTAAAATAGCACAAACAGCAACGTCAGAACGAGCAGAACCAAAAGTAATGTGTTCTATTGTATCTTATATTCTGTGATTCCTAAAGTCCTCGACAAAAAACATTAATAATTTACTATAAATATTATAAAGCATATAGTTTATTTAGCCTAATCTTAGCTTTACTGAAGCTATTTTAGCAAGCTAGCTATTTTAGCTGCTCTGTTGACAAATCAACATATATACAGGACAGGAAACAGGAAATGTAGAGACACAAGTATTTATATACAGATTGACTTTTTTTTCTAAATAAAAATATAACTACCGTTTTACATGTGCTGTTTCCTTTTATAGCCTCAGCATTCTAACAAACAAAAGTGGCGTCAACTGAGAGATAAACGTCGCCCACGTCTACAGCTGATAGGAAAATGCCTTTGATTGACAGGGTTTGATGCACTTTTTAAATGTACTTATCAAATCTGGTTTTCTTTTACATATCTCGTCACAATAGCTCTAATAGACATACTTTATGGCTCATTTATCAGTTCCCTGCTAAGGCATTTAATCTCACCTTCACAGGAACTGACTAAACATTTGTCTGAACTTGTTGACCTTCACAGGAACTGACTAAACATTTGCCTGAACTTGTTGCATTCATTTGTGAAAAAAAAAAATCTCGCAGACAGAAAAAAGCCCAAAGTTCACAGGTCAATGTAGCAGTTTATCCAAACTGGTTGAGGACATCCTGGAATGGTTATTTAATTTTATTAATTGTCCTGAAACATGCCCAAAATACTGAGGGCAAACAGGGTCTGCTTGACCACTGCTGACTTCTGTGGTGGTGTGGTCACTGCAGTATATTTGATCCATGAATATAAGG